TTGGACGAATACTTCAAACATTAGCAGTGGTCACATCATTGCTGAAACATATACTTATTAGATACGCAGTCTCAGTTTCTGATTTTGTTTCTCTTCTCAGATGCTTGATGCCATTTGGCAGATCATCTACTGGCAAAGTAAGTACTAAAACACAACAGTTGGGAACTTCTTCAAATTTACTAACTTGTTTTCACTGACTTGTTTGTCAACATGTATGTATTTTTGTATGTGTGAGTAGAGGGACTTGATAAGCATATTTATTACATTTTGCCCAATCCTTAGAACAATATCAATAATTATGATGTAAAGTTTTAGTTTTTACTGTTTGGTATATTGTGAGTGTTTTGATGAGTTTTCTTAACTTGTGTTTTAATGATGACATGTTAATGTTTTGCTGTATTGTGTTGAATTGATGAGTTTAATGTCTTGTTCTTGTTCCCTCCCACCTAGTACCTTGACTGGAACAGTTACTCCTCGCTGGTGCTGGTGGGATGTCTGGTGTTGTCCATCTCTGCTATGGTGGTGAGTACAGCTCAGCTGCTTGTAGATGGTTAAAGTCTTGTAGAAGCTGATCTTCAAGTCTTCTGTAATCTTCAAGTCTTGTAGATGACGAGTTGGTTGTCTTATTATTAATAAAGACTTTAGTTTAGATCTTGTATACACGAGATGATCTTTCTGTCTTGAAGATGGTGATATATTGTAAGTTTGTAAGTTTAGGGTTTATGTCTTATAGATGTGGTTGCTCTTTATGTCTTTTAGTTATCTTCAAGTAATTTTGAAGTCTTGTAGAAGACGGTAAGTTGTCTTAAGTTTAGATCTTGTACACGAGATGATCTTTATGTCTTGAAAATGGTGTTAACTAAAGTAATCTTAGAGTCTTTTAGTTGATGGTAAGTTTAGTTTTTATGTTTTATAGATGTGGATGCTCTTTATATCTTTTAGTTATCTTCAAGTAATTTTGAAGTCTTGTAGAAGACGGTAAGTTGTCTTAAAGTTTAGATCTTGTACACGAGATGATCTTTATGTCTTGAAAATGGTGTTAAGTAATCTTAGAGTCTTGTAGTTGACGTAGTTGAAGTTTTTATGTCTTATAGATGTGGATGCTCTTTATGTCTTTTTAAGTTATCTTCAAGTAATTTTAGAGTCTTGTAGAAGACGGTAAGTTGTCTTAAAGTTTAGATCTTGTACACGAGATGATCTTTATGTCTTGAAAATGGTGTTAAGTAATCTTAGAGTCTTGTAGTTGACGTAGTTGAAGTTTTTATGTCTTATAGATGTGGATGCTCTTTATGTCTTTTTAAGTTATCTTCAAGTAATTTTTAAGTCTTGTAGAAGATATAAGTTGTCTTAAAGTTTTTCATCTTGTAATAAGAGTAGATGTTTGCTATGTCGTGAAGGTGGTCTTAATTAATCTTGAAGTCTTGTAGAAGACTGTGAGTTGTCTTAAGTTTATAATCTTGTATGTTTAGATGCTCTTCATGTCTTGAAGGTGATCTTGAGAATCTTGAAGTCCTTCAGATGATCTGAGTAATCTTGTAGAATGTGCTCATTATGTCTTGTAAACCTTTTGAAGATGTTTTCATGATTCAATGTTTTTAATCCTTGTATAGGTACTTTATTTGCTCACTGGTACTTTGTATCTTGAAGTCTAATTCAGATGAGTAGAGTATTCTTGGAGAATACCCATGCTCTTTATGTCTTGTAATCCTTTGGAAGACGTTTTCATGATTTAATGTTTTTTATTCTTTTACAGGTGTTGTACGTGCTGTCCTACCGTGTGTACGGTCGTGTGCTGAAGTCCAACAGTAAGTTTTACATGTATTTATTTATAAAGATTTATATATTACCACATTTGTGGAAGGATTGACATAGCAGGTGACTATCACCTCTTCAAGAGGTCAACCCTGAGACCAGACTGTAAGGTTAACTTTGAACCACTCACACCAGGAAAAACCCCTGCTCTTTTCGATAAGTGCGGTGGGTTCTTGGGGTGTGGCTCTCCCCAAACACAGGACCTCCATTTAACGTCATATCCGAGGGACGTCCCAAACCGAAGCTAGGTACTCATTTACACCTGAGTGAAGTGAGGAATGCCTTTCCGTAGGGCACAAGATCAGTGGCATCGGGCAGGATTCAAACCCGGGACCTCTTGGGTCTGAGCCAAACACACTAACATCACACCAGTGACACCACACAACCCCACAAATGTGGTCAACACATGTACACACCTCCTCAAACACACTGTATATCATCCAAAGGAGCTCAGGTTCACCATTCATTCAGAAAACAACAAACAATCAAATGAATGATAAATGATGATATATTGTGATATATGACAAATAATATAATTATATTGATAAATAATGATATATTATAATTGCGATATAGGATAAATGATATGTAATTATAATGCTCAGCAATTGACTGTACAATATATACAACATTCTTCTGCATCCCCAGCGCCTTTAATTGAACAACACGATTTATATTTCTTGTCATAATCCATTGAGAAAGTATCTTTCAATGCCTTGAAAATTTCATAATCACACTTTTGGTTCTACACTCAATCTGGTGTATCTGTATCAGGTATTGCTGGTGCAACCTTTGACAAATTGTTACACACCAGCTTCGCAGGCACGCAGCACAAAGGCAACTGGTTACGTGTAATCACACTGAACGACTTGTCACGCCTAACCTTTGAATGTATGGTTTCAAGCGATCTAGTGGGGATGCTCACACTGTACTTGTTGGCCACGAGTTCCACGTCTAACTTTTGTCTATCTGTATCATTCTGTATAATGTATTGATGGTACAAACAACAGAACGCTTTGGAGACAGGAAGTTAAGAAGAGCTTACACAGAACTCAGACGCTCAAAACAAAGACCTGAATTAGTACATGGTGTAGAAGAAGTATCTTCTTCATGGTCTTAGACTCTAGAGACCGACGAAATGCCTACCACAACGTTTGCTCTGAGACTGATACAGTCCATTCTCTGTCCCATCCAGTTTGGACCAATGCTCAACGCGATGCCCTGGGTCTGCTGAAGACGAGAGTCACCCTCTACATCCTGGTCTTTCTCTTCTGCTGGTCACCAGGTACGGCCTGAGAGAAGGGAGGGAGGGAGGACGTTAGGCCAGTAGAAAAAAATGTTGTGTTTCCTGTTTCACAACTGACCCTAGAAAAAAACTGCCAACCCTACATTGTACATGTTGTGTTGACCCCTGCAAGTGACATATATTTTTCAAGCTGATCTACCATTTCTAGCTCCATAATCTGACACCTGATTGATGAAATGTTGTAGAATCGGTTTTCCAGCATTTTTGTTTGTTTGTTTGTTTGTTTCGCATAACCGGTAAACCGCCTTCAGGCGTAACACACCAGTTTTGTACATGTGCGCACATGTACAAGCTGCGTAAGACCGGACTGTAAGTTTTGAACCACTCACACCGGGAAGATCCCCTACTCTTTTCGATAAGTGCGGTGGGTTCTTTAACGTGCATTGGGTGTGGCTCTCCCAAACATGGGACCTCCATTTAACGTCCTATCCGAGGGACGTCCCTAACCGAAGCTAGGTACTCATTTTCACCTGAGTGAAGTGAGGAAAGTCGTGTAAAGTGCCTTTCCCAAGGGCACAAGATCGGTGACATGGGCAGGGTTTGAACCCACAACCTCTGGGGTGTGAGCCGAACGCGCTACCGACTGCGCCACACGACCCCATGATGTTGAAAATAGTCCACAATTTGATAAACTAATTGTTGGATCACTAGAGATCACCAAAGAAGATGAAATGAGGGAGAGAGGGAGAGAAAAAGAAGGGGCAAAAAGTACATAAGGGGAGAATAAAGGGAGATGTTTACATGTTTTCTCTCCCTTCCACTTTGTGGTAAATTCAACATTAACAC